CAACGACAACTTGCATTTTAATAAAAATATATAACTTGGTCACTCAATCCACGACTGTTTGTGGGACACTGCTGTGCACAATTGGCTGCTGTATTTCGCCCACAAAATATACAGTCAATCCACTTTACAGTGTATTCTGTGAAGCACTTTGAGACATCTTAAAGACGTGGTAAGATGCTATATCAAATAAAAGGATTATTATATTTATATTATTTATCAGTGCCTTGAAACGTCTTCCCGTGCGAAAGGTGCTATAAAAATGTAATTTGTTGTTGTTGCTATATACAACACTTCTTATGTAGCATCTTGGAGGACTTAAACAGCAGTGTTAACAGGTTTGTTGCTGAGGTGGAAAGGGACGGGAGGTGACCAAAGGGCTCAACAGATGAAAGTCTTCACATGTATGACTTGAAGATGGGCAAAGAGCATTCCAGACATTTGGGGGGTGGGGGGGAAGGTTAAGTGGTACAGTGATCGTAAACCAAAGAAGGAAACTTTCTGGAATTTCTAGTTTCAGTTAATGAAAACGGTTTTTATTTTTACCTTTTGAGCCTTACATTTAGAAGCCTGTCTTTTCACAGGGTCCCCTGCACATGCTGGTCCACCAATTACCTGCAGGGTGTTCTGGTTAACAACCCTCCAGATAAAATTGGACACTCGCTTCATGGCTGTTTCTGGGACATTGCTGTGTGCGACACTGGCTACTGTACTACGTTTGCCTAAAAAATACACTCACTACACTCTACAGTAAATAGATTGAAGTGCTTTGAGACATTTCAATGACCAAATACAAGGATTATATTAGTATTATTATTATTGTGGACATCAATGGGATAGAAATTCCATAGGGGTCTCAATTTAATTTATATATGTAGAATTTTTTAAGTGAATTGAATTTGTCAAATTATTGATTACTTTCTTAATTGTGCTTTCATTTGTAAGCTTTGTGGGTTTAGCTGGTTGAACTCAAGCAGAGTTCACACACTCTGGAGACTCCAAGCCTTGGCTCTTGCCAACCTGTGCTTAATTTTCTCTGGAATTGCGTAAGCAGGGTATGTCTGTCACTCAAGGAAAGAGTGCAAATTGCGTTCCAGATACAGGAATTTCCATGTTTAGGTGGTATACATGGGACTCTTAAGCATAGTATTTAATTTCCTCATGTGTCAGTCATATAGCTGACAAAAACTCAGTTTGGCTCAGTTGATATACCTCTCATCTCTAAGTCAGAAGGTTGTGGGTTTAAGCCTCATGTCTAGATTTTGAACTCATATAGTCCAGCCTGACATACCAGTGCAATGTTGTGCGTGTGTTGTATAGTTGGAGGTGCTATTCGTTGCATGAGACATTACACCAATGTCCATTCTGCCTGTTCATTAATGATTCCATGGCACTATTCATCAACAACAACAAAATTACATTTGTATAGCGCCTTTCACGTCAGGAGAACGTCCCAAGGTGCTGCACAGACAGAGTTATGGACCTGAGCTGGGTGGAGGAGGATGGAGGGCAATTGGGAAAGCAGGGAGATCGAAAGCACATTTGAAGAGGAGGGTGTAGAAGGTGGCAAGGGAGGGGGTGAGATGGAACAGCGGGATGGAGTTCCAGAGGGTGGGGGCAGAGTGGTGGAAGGCCCGCCCACCAATAGTGGGGCGAGCAAGGCGAGGGACGTGAAGCAGGCCAGAGCCACTGAGAAGGGAGTTTATTCTAATGTCCTGGCCATCAATCCTTCAAATAAATCAATGGTCATTTACTCCATCGCTGTTTATGGGACATTGTTGTGTGCCAATTGGCTGCTGTGTTTCGCTTGCAAAATATGAAAGCACTTTATGGTATATTCTGTGAACAGATTTGCGATGTGCTCTTGACGTGAAAGGCATTACATCAAATGCAAGGAATATTATTCGTAGATGCTGACTCTTATGGTTCTTTTCGGGGTAATATCAGTCCTGCACTTTCACATGGCTGTGAATTTACTGCAAAGTACTAAGAACTAGATAAATATAAAAGGTGGGGAGTTGAAATATTGACTCAGATCATGTCAGAGTTTAGAACTCCCAAGTTGTTTCCTTACATTTTATGACCTTGTGAAACCAATTGTTTCCCCCTCTAAATGGTGGTTCTGAGCTGACACAGTAAATACACAGTAAATAAACCTTTCACTACTTCTCTCTATCAGGAATAAACATCAAAAGATACAATAAAACATCTTATATGGACCTAGGCAGCAAATGTTGAGTGCAGGTCCTGAACAGGTGATTGAAGAGCCACCTATTTCATGAACATGGAGACAGGAAATTTGATTTGAAATAAGGTATCATTTTGGAAGAATTTGAAATTCATTCTTATTTGACAGATGGTCTTCTGCAGCTGTAAATAACAAAAAAATTATATATTATATCAAATTATCATGCTCCATCAGTTCCTTAGGCTTGAAGCAAACATGCTCAGGAAAATATTAGCCCATATTTGCGTTTGCATTGGAACAGACCTTTTTTGTTTTAAACAATATTATTTTGCTTCCATCTTACATCTCAAGACAATGTAAAAATGGAGAAATGTATCCACAATTTAGAGCCAAATACAATATTCAAAAAAGATATTTTGAAAACAATAAACAATGCCTCATACCATCATGAAAGTATCTGCTTTGTCATAAAAGGGTTATTGTGGAAAACAATTGCTTCTCTTCGGACATTCGGAAGCTAGTCTCAACTGGAAAAATACTCACAGATGCAAACAGTGCCAGGTGTGAAATGGTTACTGGTGTACGATCCATAGGTTACAATAGTATGGGTTTGTTGGTCCATAAGAAATACTGTATTATTAAGTCTTTGAACCAGGATGTTTTATTGTATCTTTTTATGGCACTGATAGAGAGAAGTGGTGAAAGCCATATTCATTGTGTTGAAGTGTAGTAAAAATCAAAGAATTCCTTTGACAAGAAACACCTCAGTAATTTCAGAAAGAATCACCAGAGATCAATTGCTGGTTATGCAGTTCAAACAGGTTTTATAGCAGCACGGAAGCTACAGTGATAAAGCACTGGTCTCCTGGCCTAATGGAATATGAGCTGAAAAACAAACACTAACTGATATTCTTTCCATTTTTCTGTTTCCCTTTTTTAATGGTCATTTTCTTCCATGCAATCCTCTCAAGGTGGGATAATATAAGAACATAATAGCACTCTGAATGACAAGAATTGTCTCAACTTAGAGTTGAAAAAAACTGGCACTGAAGTTTACCAGCGTTACTAAAAAAAACTTATTATGCTAATATGGATTCTGTCTCATTCACCGCTCCCTGTGGAAATTGCTTAAATTGGTTAAAATTGTTAACTTGATTGAATAATTTAGAAAATGCAAGCTTAATTTCACTTTTTTGCTGTGAATTTCTGTCACTTATCTACCCCACTACGCAATCGCCAGAGAGGAATCTAAAGTCAAGTGAAATCTCTGAAAAGATAAAACTCCCCCATCTTCAAGATCTCCACATCTTAAGATAACTAGAATATGGACAAATGGGGAGTTAAGGAGAATTCTGTCCAACATGTATCCATCCCCATGATATTTTTTGGCCTGACATGTTTTCCAATCCATTCTACAATAGGATGCAACTCTAACTAATTGCGTTCCACAGATGACATTTCTATGTTTTCTGTGTCCCAGTTGCAGAAGAACCATTATATTTGATTGATTTTGCTTCTCATTCTCTTTGAAAACCTTCTCTATTTTCCTATGAATAATTATCCCTACATTTATGTGCTGTGCGGTGTACACGAATGGAGGAAATAGCCGATATGTTGTAGAAAAAACAAGTTACTTTATTTTAGAAAGCAATGTTTTGCGCAAGGCACTAATAAGACAATTTAAAACTTTTTGCTGAGTGTTGAATGTCACCCTTCAGCTGAGCTAACTAGACTAGGGGTGAATAATTAAGGTTAGGCTGACCTCTTTAGATGAAGAGTTAATTGCTTCAGATTGCTGATGATGAAACTGGAAATGATTAATTGTGCAGAACAGCAAAACCATTACTTAAACAAAGAACAGTGGTAAAGTGTTCTTACACACTCTAATGAACAGACTTCTTTAGAAACTAATGACAAAATGGCATAATTTTGCCTTTTTTTGCTGTACGCTGACCTGGAGAAGACTGTTAATAATAATAATCCTTGGATTTGATATAGTGCCTTATCACGTCTTTGAGACATCTCAAAGCGCTTCACAGGATATCTTATAAAGTGAATTGACCCACAGTGTCCCACAAACAGTCATCGATTGAGTGACCAATTTTTTTTGTTGAGGGGATTATTAACCCCGGAAAAGCGATCCACCAATCGATTACCATTGTTATCATTAATTCAACTAATGATTCACTCAACTAATGATGACCATGCATCTTAGTTAAAATTATTTAAAATGACTGATTTTCACAATAATTTTCGCAGTAACTGTTCAGCCAAGACCACCTTACAAGGCTCATTGACAAGAAAGGAGTTTCTTCTGGCTAACGATCCTCCAGATAAAATTGGTCATTTACTTCATAGCTGTTTGTGGGACCTTGCTGTGCTGATATTGGTTGCTGCGTTTGCCTACTAAATACACAGTCACTACACTTTACATTAAAAATCCCGTGAAGAGTATTGGGACATTTTAATGACACGATGAGACAGATAATCAAATGCAAGGATTATTATATGAGTATGACAGGTTGGTCAACCTTCAAAAAATGTTCTGAAATCAATCCGCAGATAATAATAATAATAATAATCCTTGCATTAGTTCTCTTTAGAAAATGTTCAACCCCATAGTTATCCTGTTTGTCACCCTAACTTCCCAGAAGGATTTTTGTTACTCATTTATTGGCTTCAAAAAGATGAGGTGCTAAATGGATACACAGGGATTGAAACCTAGAAAAATTCTGAATTCAAGTCTTTGGCTCAGCCAATTAAGTCACCTAGAATTACACCATTAATTCAAAGAATATGTCAATTACTGACAAAATTGATCAAGTTTTACTTTTATTAAAACAGCTTCTAATGTACTGCCGATCAGTACATCAATGTTCTTTTTGAAAAGAAATTAACAAATGTACAAAAATGTTTTCCATAGACAAGAAAGAAAATGCAGTTTCTTTTTTCAAAGATGCTACTTTGCCCCCTTTTTGTTGTGGTTCTTGCCTCAGGATGACTCTTGCAACTCCAGGGTTCATTGAGTGCAGAAAATGTGGTCAAACTGTCCCATAGCAGTTATATAGAAAAAGCAATGTGTGAGGGATTCTCTTCTCTTGAGTTCCGTTTGTACAGTACTATAAATCCAGACTAGTTTCAGAGTGCGTTGATCCAATATACGATTATTTTGCCCTTGAGACCACTGGGCTGGTGATATTAGCCAAGTGGGGATTCAGACTCAAAGCCAGTGTGTGCACAAATCATGCATATGGTATCATGCATCTATTGCATGAGGCTGGGAAAGATAACCATCTCCCGTAGCAACTGGGGAGAACCTGAATCTGTAATTCAAATAAACATCGCTTATCTGTTGACAGCTATCTGATTCCAATTTAATTTAAATTGCATGCACAATCAGTCTAGGAAAATGAGGTATGCATTTATTCAGTCTAATTTGAATTTCATTAATTTGTGCTCTATATACTGTGTGTTTAGCTATGAATAGCTTTTTTTTAAACAAAAAAATCGCATGAAAAATATTCGCCTTCTTTGATCCCCAGTGCTGACAGCCTTCTTCATTAAGTCGAGATGGTAGGACTGTCTGAATCTCAGTCTTTAAGGCGTCCATTGAGGCAATGTGCGCACGTACTCAGCACACACTTTTTCCAGCTTCTCCTCATTCTCCACACTAACAATGAGCTTTTGAAACACTTTCCAGTGAACCAGGACCACATTACATAAGGGAAACTGAAGCTACCTGTACTTGTCAACTGAGGAAAACCAAGTTTGAACAAACATCCAGATTTCCTATAAAAGCACATTCAAATTCAGATTTAGCTTGGGATGATGTGACACACTCAAAGGTACTAGTCTGCCTGTGTGTTGGCTGGTACACCCATGGCACATCTACAATGCAGATAAGCCCTCAGTCTCTTCAATGCACTAACACGATGACCCTGTCACCATTCCACTCTCAAAATAAATCCGTAGCTACATGTGATTTTTCAAACATAGGGCACCTTTTGACAAGTGATAATTAAACAGTGGAAAAGCAAATGCCCCCTTCTTATCATAACACACTGCAGGGCCACAGCAGTTCAGCTTATTGTGACATTCCAAATTAAAATTCAGGCCTATTGCACATATGGAGTTGTTGAGCTTTAAAATGGAAAAAGCAAATCTCAAAGGCAGGTCAATCCCTTTTCAATTAAAAAGGGTGTGTATTGTAGGGGTGGGGGGTGGAATAGGGAATGAGTTCTGTTGCTGTATTCTAAGACACGTTTCCAGTGTTGGTCAGCCAAGATGCAGTCATGTGTTCTCTCAGGATCTGAGCTGACTCAATGTCTTTTTCTATTCTTCCTTCCTACAGGTGAAAAATGACTTTGCCAAGTTCAGTTATTTGCCACTCTTTGTGTCTGAGCATTGCTTGCGTAGCATGTTGGACTCAGTACAAATCTGACAGAACTTCAGCCTGACTACATGTCTTGTGTCCCAAATGGATGCAGTTCCACGTTCACAGATCGGTCACAGTTCAAAAGCTTCCGTTCACCTGGCTATAACGAATCTTCATCATCTTCAGCAGTCGCGTACATGTCTGCCAGCTTTTTGAAGCGGGGCCCCCAGTCACTCAGGTAATCGTAATTAAGATCTGAGTCTGTTGTGGCTGATTCCAAGGAGCTCAGTGATTCCACTACAGAACCATTGCCTTCAAACGCATACGTCTGAAGTGAGTCGAAGGGAGGAGCGCAAGGATCGGTGTTGGCTTCGTGCAATTTCGCAAGAATGTAGTTGTGAACGTTGTTGTCCCCGACTCCAGACTGCAGCACATATTTGGAGAGGCTTTCGATTTCCGGGACCATGTCTCTCCTGGACTTCAGCAGCTGGACTTCTCTGGGATTCCACATCGCAGCAATGTCAAAAGCCTCTGTGTCCTCCTCTCCCCCACCTTCATCATCATAGCGCACAATGTTCTCATGGACGTTTTCTTCCTCGTCAAAGATAAGTGGCTGCTTCTTGTGCTTTCTCATTGTTAAAATAAATAACACCAGCACTGAAAGAGAAACATCAATTGTGCAGGATTTTAAACATAGGTCTTTTTAAAAAAAATAACTGTAATTATATTGCCCAATCTTAGATCTAACATCCTAATAGCCCAGTCCAATATTCTGGAGGCCGACATTAGATTTGAAGAGTAAAAAAGTAAAACAGATTGATGGAGTGACAATGTACCCCATAATATCTTTTAAGAATTGTTAGTCACTGTGCTTTCAGTCTCTGCAACAAAACCGCTCTGCCTCCCTCCTACCTTCCCTCTGCTTTCAAATCCCTTCTAGAAAACCTCTCTGTTTCAACTGCATCTTTAGTCAATTCAACTCCCATCCTGGTGACATCATCCACAGACATGGGTTCAACTTTCACATGTACGTGGACGACACCCAGCTCTATCTCTCTGCCTCCACCCTCGATTCCAGGACAATAATAATAATCCTTGCATTTGATATAGCGCTTTTCACGTCGGGAGGATGTCCCAAAGTGCTTCACAGAACACACTATAAAGTGAATTGACTGTATATTTGTGGGCGAACGCGGCTGCCAATTGCGCACAGCAATGTCCCACAAACAGTCGTAGATTGAAAATGACCAATTTATTATTGTTTTTTTGGAGGGATTATTATTAGGTGTGTGAAGTAAGGAAACTTGCCCAAGGTTTCGCCCTGCCTGGAATTGAACTCAGGTCTCTCACTTGCAAAGTGAGTGCTCTAACCACTGAGCTGCAGGACTCCACAACTGACAACCTGAAAGACTGTCTGTCTGACATCAAGTCCTGGATGAGAGCCAACTTTCTACAGCTGAATGTCAGCAAAACAGAGGCTCTCCAGAGTGGCTTACACCAGTGCCTCAGCACCTCAGGCACTGGCAGCATCATCATCACGGTTGCACACTCCACCTCACCAAGTAGGTCAGGAACCTGGGCGTCTTGTTCGACTCTCAACAGTCCTTTCTCCCTCATATCCATGCCATGACCTGCATTGCCTTCCCCCACCTCCGCAACATTGCCTGACACCGCCACTGCCTCACCCCTCAGGCCGCCCAAACCCTCATACATGCATTCATCACCTCAAGGCTTGACTACGGAAACTCCCTCTTTGCCGGCCTCCCAACTCTTCCCTCCACAAACTGCAGAGCATCCAGGATTCTGCAGCTCATGTCCTCTCCTGCACCAGGCTCCGTGACCCCATCACCCCTACCCTCACCCGGCTCCACTGGCTCCCCATCCCTCAGAGAATAGAATTCCAAATCCTCGTCCTCACTTTCAAGACCCACCATGGCCTTGTCCCCTCCTACATCTCTGACCTGCTGACCCCCGATCAACCTGTCCGCTCCCTCCACTCAGCAGGTTGTCATTGTTTTTCCTACTTCTCACCATGCTCAGATTTCCACTTTGTCTCGATAAAGTGCTTCGAGCCATGAAAGTTGTTGTTATATGTCCAAAATTTACTTTTGCTGGTGACATCCAGTCTCAGAATATCAGTACTTCACCAACTTTTATTCTTCTTATACCAATATTTAAGAGATTGAGCTTGTCCCAATGGAATACAATATCGACTTTAATTGGAAAGTCTGCCATCCATTGGATGTTTGGCTAAATCTAACACATGGTCCAATAGTTAAGCAACAGAGTTGATCTGTGACTTGGCTCAGAGCGTTCTTCCTGTAACACTGCAGTGGCTTTAACCACAGGAAGGAGAAAAACACACAAGTTTTTCAAAAAGAAAATGCTCCCACATCCTGTTACATCTGCTGACAGCTGTAACTGCAGTGTGAATGGCTTTTACTTTGTGTTGGACCAAATGAAGTGAAAACAGTATGAAAAACATCATGTACTTAGAGCTGACTGAAACATCAGGTAGTCATTATACTTCACTGCTGCAGATTTCATAATGGCTTGTGAAGTCCACCAGAGGAAGTAATAATACTCAACATGTGCACTCCATGGATGGAACAAAATTTGCCAGGGGGAAGTTGAACGAGATCTCGGGGTTTTAATTGACTCATCACTCACTATGTCAAAACGTGTGAGACAGCAATAAACAAGGCAAACAGGATGATGGGCTATACTGCTAAATCAGTTCAGTTTAGATCACCAGGCTGTATAGTTCTGCTACATAAGGGGGCTGTCTAGGTCCTAGAGTCAGAGAAGAGCAATGAGGATGATCCCTAGTTTTAGAGAAATGAGCTATGAGCAACACATAGACTAGTTACAAGTCTTAAGAGAAAGACAACTCAGAGGGGACCTCTTAGAGTTGTAAAACAATCTTTAGGATGGAATAAGGCAGTAGAACAAGAGGACATAGGTTTAGAATTGCAAAGAGCAATTTTAGGACAGACACTGGGGAGTTTTTATTTAATCAGTGGGCAATTAAAGATTGAAATAGGTTGTCAGGAAGGTGATTGAGGCCACGACTCATTTAAAAATACAGCTTGATGGGAGGACAATAAGGTGGGTATTCAGAAGGAATGAGATCAGATGGGCCAAAGATGCATCCAAACCAATCTTGTGATTTTGTGACTGTTTATATTAACAGGAACTCTGAGTTAAGAAATTGTAGCAGCCTAAAGCGAACCACTAAATCCATTTGTTCACCAGTGAAAAGTGAGAATCACGTTACGTAATTTGGTTCTAGAGTCAGAGAAGAGCTTTGGTTCCAGTTTGCCATTGCAAACAGTGTAAGAGGGATAAGCATCCTGTTCTCATGAGTGAATGTTTACACTGAAAGTGCATTGTCAGGAATGTACTGATTTTCAAGCAAAAGGAATAGGTAATGAACGTACAATCTGTTATCCTAGTGCACATTGTTTTTCTTTACTCAAGGATAATCAATGACTGCAACAGGTTGCCAAGAAAAATGTTAGAGGCCAAGACACTGGACTCATTTGAAAAGAAGCTTTATACAGTGATGGAGGATGGTATTTTGGTTGTTCTGGAAGGATGAGATTAGATGTGCTGAAGGGCTTTATTCATCCAAACCAATCTTATGATCTTGTGACAAATAGATTCACTGAAATCTACTGCTCGATATAACTCAGATTACGCACTAGTCAATTCTGATTTTAAACAAAACGCAAAATACTTCAGTTGCTGGAAATCTGAAACAAAAACAGACGTCCCTGAGAACACTCAGCAGGTCAGGCAGCATCTATGGAGAAAGGAAAGTGAGTCAACATTTCAGGTCCATGATCCTTCGTCAGAATCAGTTCTGACGAAGGGTTGTGGACACGAAAAGTTGACTCACTTTCCTTTCTCCATAGATGCTGCCTGACCTGCTGAGTGTTCCCAACGACTTCTGTTTTTGTATCAATTCTGATATACTCTAGCAAGTAAAAAGGATCTGCTGCTCAACTTGTTTGTGGTCAAGAATGAGGCAACATATCAAGAATAAGGAAATGGCTGAACTCTAGGCTGCTTAGGGATAGGTCATTCTAGTAAGGCCGAGAGTTACAGTCCTACTAATTGAATTGCTATGAAATCAGCTCCAGATCTATAAAAATAGATTTGATTTAAAGGGACCATTGACACTGAATATTGGTCTGTAGAATCCAGAGGCCTGAAATCTTCATGTTCTCAAACTCAAGATTTAGGATTTACGCAGAATTTCTGAAAAAATTTAAATTTAGTTTTTACTGAATTTAAGAATGTTCCACTGTTCTGCATAATGTTAAATTTTAAGGCAACAGCCTTCAGGTAAAAGCCATCAGAGCTTCTGAGCCTCAGTAGCCTACATTTGTTAAAACCTGTACGTATAATTTTATACATTTGCGTAGATCACGTATGAACCCAACTGCAGTGCTTTGCTTACCCAGCAATATGAAGATACAGGCCAGAATTGCAATCAGTGCTCCTCTGCTCATGCTGACAGGAAGACTGTAGGCCTCAACATTGCAGGTCCTGACATTCCCATCGGAGTCACAACCGCACACCCTGATCGTCAGTGTGCTCGTGCTGCTCTGCATTGGAAGTCCACTATCTGCGATGAGGATGGGCAGGTAATAGGTGCCCTGTTCCTGGTGTCTGAACCCAGATCTTCTGGTCAGGATCCAGGCAGTATTGTCTGGAAGGAAAGCATATTACAGAATATACAACAAGTTGTAAAATATGTGTGTGCATGCATGGGTGGGTACAATTGCATGTGTGCTATTGAATTATTTGCTGTACAATTTTCAGTCGTGATTCATTCTGAAATAGATTATGGATATTTTTTTAATAACGAAATTGAGGACGATAAAATTTTTGATCAGCAATCTGCACTCTTACGCCTGGTACTGCACATTGTCAAGTATAGACTAATGCTCCTTTGATTTTTTCTTATCATTAGACCCCAAATTCTATCTAGTCTTAGCCTGCAAAGTCATTTTGTCTTAGAATTTAAGATCGTGCAGAAGTATGAAAATTTCATATATAGTCTAAATGTGGAAGAAAACATAATTCTTAAAAAGAACCTTGTTCCGAAATAAGACTGAAATCAACAATTTTCCACAATACTGCGCTCTTTTAAATTTAAGGCAACTGGTCTTACAGATTACAGACTAAGACTAGGTGAAATTTCTGATTAAAAACTTTTAAAAAAGTTTAATCTCAGCCCCACAAGAGCAAGCCCTTCCTCACCTCCATTGCCCCAGAGTGACATTTCTATCAACAGCCATCTTCAGCCTCTGATTAGCAGGTTAATACCTGGTAACCTAGTTATTATAATGCAAGGTTTCAGGCCTCAGGACTTGACTGTTCAAACCTGTGTGTAATATCATGATACATTAGCTTGAATACGACAAACCTCTGTGCATAAAAGCGCAAAGTCAAATGTCACTTTAGCGAAATAAAGACTGCGTGCTTGGCACTGCCCGCTGTCAAATGAAAAGACCAAATTCTAATGCTGCCTTTTGAAGCTATTTTTGTTTTGTCATTGTCAGAACAATGGACAGTTTTCAGTCTGCATTTGTGAAGCAGTCCAATTGTTGTGAGAAAAATAGAGCGAGACAAGCTCAGAACTGCAATTCCTCAAACAAAACACCCAAAACAAATGCACAATTACAATTCTCTCAGAAACCATTCAAGAGGGGTCGTTTATATTGTGTAAGTGCATGTTTTCCTAATGAGAGCCGTAGTGAGAAACCAATGATGTAGGTAGGTAAGGCTGTAAAAAATAACCTTGAGTTACCTTGATTATCACGAACAGTGAAGTTTGGGTTGTTGGCGACCTCGGGAGCAAGACCGTAGTAAAAGTGGTGACCTCCCTGAGGGTTGTCTTTGTCCACTGCACTGACCATCTGGATCAACTGTGGAAAGAAGGAAATTAAAACTAACTGTATGTGCTGGTGCCAGCTGGTATATGCTATGACACAAGATACATATCCACCCCCATTTCAGTCCTACATTTATCACCTGTAGCAGAATCCATTTATGCAAAACATTGTTATTGTTTTTAATAATAATATTAATCCTTGCATTTGATACTGTGCCTTATCATGTTGTTGAGACATCTCAAAGCACTTCATAGAATATATTATAAAGTGGATTGACTGTGTATTTTGTGGGCCAATTGAGCACAGCAGTGTAGCACAAACAGCTATAGATTGAATGACCAATATTTTTTTGAGGGATTATTACCCCTGGAAAGCAATCCGCCAATCGACTAAGAACCAGGTTCCCACTTATTGCTGGGTAACCAAGGCATGTAGAGTAAGGAAACCCGGCAACCGATTGGGTACAATTGCTTGAGTGTGATGTATGAAAATCAGAACCTTTTAAATGTACCATCCTTCTCTGTATCTTTACATATCTAACAATATCATTTATCTGTCTGGTGCACTGCCTGGCGTTGGATATATAATATTCCATATTGTGTGGGCATGAAAAAGTGTGTGCGTGTGTTCATACAAGTTTTAGAGATGGTTATAGTGGGGAAGTGAATCATTTTTATGACTGTCACCAATTAAGCTGTGCCAGTGTTGGATGCCTCTGTACTCATCCCTTCCCAAAACAATATCCTGCTCTGTAAATAACTAAGGAGAGGGGTATTTTACAATATTTAGGGGAAAAATATATGTCCAATTCAGAACTTTATCCTGGAATGTATAAACATATAAATACTCTGCAATGTTCCTCAGACTCACATGGCTTTTAAAGTGAAATAAAGTGCTAGATGTAGTGAAAATGCTGACATCTGGTTCACTCACTCTCCTGAAGTTAATTAGCTTTGAATAGCTCCAAGCTGTGTCCCCCACTGTATTGAGCAGCCTTTCTCTTACCTGACCGGGTTTGGCATTTTCACAGACATAAGCCTCGGAGTCCTTGACAAACATTGGAGGATTGTCATTGATGTCGAGGACTTTAATGGTGACTGAAACACTTCCAATTTGCGTGGGGTTCTCTGTAAAGGAAATGAGCCTCTTACAAATTGATCCCATCATTTATCCACTCATATGTGCAATTTCTGCATTGTTCCAAGTTCTCCGGTGCATGGAGGTTGAATGCCAAGCTGGCTTTGCTAAACAAACCTTTCAAAAAAAGTTAAACTGGAGACTGTTCCCATGGTAAATTCAGAATACAACTGGTAGTGTATTTAATTCTCATGTGCAGCCTCTTCTAAAGCAATGGGCAGCTGAGAGTCACACACCATGGGTCCTATATTGGTTTTATACCCAAGTGCAGGGAGAATAAACGTAGTATTGATAATGCACAAGAATGATGTTTGCAAGCAGACATTGTGACTATTCATCATTCTGAGTGTACAACAACAAAATTACATTTGTATGGCGCCTTTCACGTCAGGAGGGCATCCCAAGGTGCTGGTCAGTGATTTCGACCTGAGCTGGGGGTCGGTTTCGGGGAGGGTGGATCGTGGGGGCGGGGGTTGAAATGGAAGGTCTTGCGGTTCGTCTTGAAGAATGCAAGGGAGGTGGCAAGGCAGAGGGATTGCGGGATGGATTCCCAGGGGGTGGGGGCAGAGTGGCTGAAGGCCCGTCCGCGAATGGTGGGGCGAACGAGATAGGGGACATGAAGCAGGCTGGAGCCCGCTGAGCAGAGGGAGTGGGCCAGTTGGTAGGGGGTTAGGAGGTGCAAAGGTAGGGGGAAGCAAGACCATGGAGGGCTTTAACAGTGATGACCAGGATCTTGAACTTTATCCTCTGAGTGATGGGAAGCTGTGGAGTAAGGTGAAGATGGGGCTGATAGAGTCAAGGAGCCTGGTGCGAGGACACAAGCTGCAGAGTTCTGGATGATCTGCAGCCTATGGAGGGAGGAGTCGGGGAGGGCGACAAGCAGGGAGTTTGTATAGTCAAGCCTGGATGTTATGAATGCGTGTTTGAGGATTTCGGCGGCCTGTGGTGTGAGACAAAGGCAGAGCCGGGAGATGTTGCGGAGGTTGGAGAAGGCAGGGCAGGTCATGGCACAGGTGAAGGGTAGAAAGGGTAGTTGAGGGTTAAACAAGATGCCAAAGTTCTGGACTGGCTTAGTAAAGTGGAATGTGCATCCTTGGATGGTGAGGAAGCACTGACGGGAGCCAATCAGGAGAGCCTCGGTCTTGCTGACGTTCAACTGAAGAAACTTAGCTCTCGTCCAGGACTTGATAACTGACAGAAATTCTGTCAGGACAGCAGTGGTCCTGGAGTCAAGGGTGGAGGCAGAGAGAGAGGGAGGGTTGGGTGTCATCCGCATACATGTGGAAGTTGACCCCATGTCTGCAGATGATGTCACCAAGAGGGAACATATAGATAGTGAAAAGGGGTGGAACCAAGGACAGAGCCCTGAGAAACCCCACACAGGGGGCTAGAGGGGAAACCATTTGATGTGAGAGGGAGGATCTGAACCATTCAAGCACAGAGCCATTAAAGTTGAGGTGAGAGGAGAGGCAGTGGAGGAGAATAGAGTGGTCAACGGTATCGAAGACAGCAGTGTATTGTTTGCTGGTGGAATATATACCAGTCAGACTTGCCATGCTCGCCTCTGAAACTCTGCCATTCAAGTGGGTGACCTGCCTGTTGATCAGACGTAGGAAATTTGAATCTCAGGGTTGTCTGTCACTGAAGCCCCTTGCTGGGTTCATCTAAGCAGTCCTCAGATCAGGAATAGGACCAATTAGCATACATCAATCATTAGTTATCTGACTTCAGTTATGAGGAGAGGCTAGAGAAGCTAGGATTATTCTCCTTGGAGCAGAGAAGGTTAAGAGGAGATTTAATAGGTTTTCAAAATTATGAGGGGATTCGGTAGGGTGAACAAGGAAAATATTCCCACTGGCGGGTGGGTCGGTAACCTGAGGACACTGATTTAAAATAGTTGTTAAAAGAAACAGAGGTGAGGTGAGGAGAAATTTTTTTACACAGCGAGTTATTCGGATCTGAAATTAATAGCCTGAAAGGGTGGTGGAAGCCGATTCGATAACAACTTTCAAAAGAGAAGTAGATAGATATTTGGGGAGAACACTTTTGCAGGGCTATGGAAAGAGAGTGGGGCAGTGGGATTGATTTGGATAGCTCTTTTCAAAGAGCCGGCACAGGCACGATGGGCAAAATGGCCTCCCTCTGTGCTGTATAATTCTATGATTCTATGATTACATCATGGATAGCAGAGGAAAGACAAACCGGACACCATGGGGTCTATTATGCACCATACGTAAACCATTACTAATGATTACTAATTGTTATTTACAGTTAAGGAAATGCCATCTGTTAACATGTGCTTACAACTAGTTTACACATGGCACATAATAGATCCCAAAGTCCCTTTAAATAACCTTTATCTGATGGCAAGCAGTTTGCAAATCATGCCTAAGAACTTCTCCTTAGTATGATCCAAGAGAGGTGCAGAGATATACAAACAATTGTTTGCCACTTGAGAGTTGAACAGAAGTGCAGGAAGGGAGGGAACTGCTGTTTTTATAGGCAGACCATGGGCTTTCTTCATAGGCTTTTTAAAAATAATTCCAGAAAATTTGCAGAAACAGGGACTGAAAAAGGGTTTGAATGGGAAAACCTTAGTATAGTGTGGTACCAACCAACAAAAGCAACGCCTTGAGAGATAAATTGTGTATTTAGCAAGGAATCGTGTGTATAACCCCCGGGCTCTCAGCTCAGAGAAATCTCAGAAAAGGGCACATATGTTCTTGCAGGTCAGTGTGATGTAGTTACCGTCTCCTACAGGACAAACTTTACATAGTGGGTGCTTTTTTCTATTGCTTTTACAGCCTTTATCCTGCTGGTTTAGCATTCAACTGCTCATCATCTCCAACAAGGGGCTAATTAACGTAGATCTGTCATGAAATGTTGCACTTTCCACCAGAGTACTGCAACGTTTAAAGAAAAGCAAGATAATCACATATTCTCATCTGCTCTAAAAGTTTTTTTTAATCTTAAATTCTGAACATCTGAATAATTGAGCAGCTCCAGAAAAGCAAGTTCTTTTCTCCTTCCAAAAAGGCGGGAGTGAAGCCTTTGACAGGTGTGAGAAGTGAATTGACAAACACTGTCTTCATGATGAACCATTAATGATGCACCAAAAAATGTTGCAGATGATTTTTTTTTAAAAATCTGCTGCCAATCTGAAATCTCTTTGAAAATGCAGCCTCCTTTCTCCCACACTTTACCGCGCACCCCACCCCCACCCCGACACACACGCAAAGTACATATTTTCCGCTCTGTCACTTCTATTTGACTGATCGAATTGAATTGAAGCAAAGTTTCAACACAAGAGAGCTATGTAATTTTTTAATTGAGTGCTGAGAAGTCTCCCCGTACTCACTCATTTCCATTGCTAGGACTGTGATGTTGTGCCAGGACAGCTCTTCTCGATCCAGTGATTTTGCAGTCATTAAAGCTCCCGATGCTATATCAATGTAAAAGAATCTTGCAGGATCGGAGGCCCGGTCAATTGAATATCTTGCAAAGAGAATAAAAAGGGTGCAAACAAAGTCACTTTTAGGAATCCACACCATTTCCAACGTCTACTGGAACCCCAAAAACTTTTCATATTTTAATATTTAGTCACTCAATCCACGACTGTTTGTGGTACACTACTGTGCGCAATTGGTTACAGCGTTTCACCCACAAAATATACAGTCAATTCATTTTACAGGATATTCTGTAAAGCACTTTGAGATGTCTCGATGATGTGATAAAGTGTTATTTCAAATGCATGGATTATTATTAATAATAATTTCAATTATGGGTGTTGTTTGCATGGCAGAGGCAGAGTTCAGCTCTGTGTTAGCTTGTTGTATGTTCTTATGAAATAAGACTTGGAGAAATGGGAAGAACTGTGCGTAGTGTAATGTGATCTAATTTATGTTACTGCTCATTGGACTGATTCACCTGTGAGCACAGCCTCACCCACGGTCTTGGGGGCATGGCAGGAACATGAGGAGGTTCTGAATAAAGCACAAACTAGATAGGGTGAATACATACCTGAAGTACTGTATAGAATTATCCTTTTATTTATCACATCATCGAACTGTCTTGAAGCGCTTCACAGGCTTCCACTGCGAAATGTACTGACTGTAGATTTCTGGGAAATTTATCAAGACTGAACCCTGCTGTACCTTGCTGTATTATTATATTAATAATAATAATCATCCTTGCATTTGATATAGCGCCTTATCACATATTCGAGACGTCTCAAAGCACTTCACAGAATATACTGTAAAGTGAATTGACTATATATTTGTGAGCAAAACGCGGCAGCCAATTGCGCACAGCAATGTCACACAAACAGTCATGGACGGATTGACCAAATCATTATTTATTATTGATATATATTTTTTGAAGGGATTATTACGCGCGGAAAAGTGCGTAATAATCCCTTCACTCGAGGCACGTGGAGCAAGAAAATTTGCCTAAAGTTTTGCCCTGCCCGGAAATTGTGCTCAGGTCCTCTTGCCTCTGAGGTGAGTGTTTTAACCACTAAGCTACAGGACTCCACAAATAAAACACCAGAGAACACAGACTCAAACTAGAGTTAGCTCCTGTGAGCATCATAACCATTTTTTTACTAGATAGTCTACAACCATTATGAATCACTACAAATAAATTACATACTTGTTAAATATACATTTTAAAAAACATTATAAATAACATTTAGTATGTTCCAGAACATTTCTCCTGAGACTCGTTTCTTTCAACAACCTCCTGCAATTAGAGTGTAATTTACAGGCATGTCTTGCCGTGTATTGCTTGTGCCATACAATTTACATTTATATAGCACCTTTAAAGTTTGGAGGACATCTCAGAGCATTTTATACAGATGATAAATAATAATAATAATTGCATTTGATAATAATAACAATCCTTGCATTTGATATAACGCTTTTCATGTCTTCTAGACGTCTCAAAGCGCTTCACAGAATATGCTGTAAAGTGAATCGACTGTATATTTGTGGGCGAAACGCGGCAGCCAGTTGCGCACAGCAGTGTCCCACAAACAGTCGTAGATTGAAGTATTATTTTGTTTTTTGGAGGGATTATTATTAGGCGTGTGGAGTAAGGAAACTTGCTCAAACTTGCCCAAGGTTTCGCCCTGCCTGGAATTGATCCCAGGTGTCTCGCTTGCAAGGCGAGTGCTCTAACCACTGAGCTACAGGACTCCATGATAGAGCGCTTTATCGCATCTTGGAGACGTCTCAAAGCGCTTCACTCAATACAAAGTGAATTTGACTGTGTATTTTGTTGGTGAAACACGGTAGCCATTTGCGCACAACAACAACTTGGATTCATATAGAGCCCGCCATGCTGGACGGCATCTCAGGGCGCTTTAGAGCATTTGTGCAGTGTGTGTACATGTGCATTTTGCTGTGCAGTGACCCACAAATAGTCGTGGATTGAGTGACCAATTCATTATTATTATTATTTGTTTTGAAGGAATTATTATCCCCGGAAAGCGATCCGCCAATCGACTGATGACCGGGTTCCTACTTACTGCTAGGTAAAAAAAGGCATGTGGGGTAAGGAAACTTGCCCAACATTTCGCCTTGCCGGGAATCAAACCCTGGTCTCTCATTTTCTCATATTGAGACGTTTTGATATCACAAGTGCTATATCAAATGCAAGGATCATTAATACTGTGGCTCTACAAAATAATTTCAACATGGCAAAACCTTTATTGAAGGCAAATAGGGTGGGGGGAGGGAAGGTCAGTGTGTGAAAACCATTACTATTCTTCAAGCAGTTCTAAAACAATGTTATTTGGATTATACTTTTGTAAAGTAACTGAACACACACCAAAACCACCTTCATTAAAACACACCAGGGTTTGACTCAAATCTAAAATTGGTCACTCACTCCATGGTTGTTTGTGGAACAATGCTGTGCACAAAATTGGCTCCCGTTCTTGCCCACAAAATATACACAGTCAAACCACTTTATCATGTATCCTGTGATACGCTTTGAGATGTCTTGACGATGTAATGATTATTATTATTATCTTTCTGAGTTAGTACAGTACACGCCTTGGGACATCCTGCCAATGTTAAAGGCACAACACCAAACGTAAGTATTATTATCATCTCTGATGACTTTGACAAGACAACTGCTAACCAATAGAATATTTATTTGGTTATCATACTACATGTGCTGATCTCTAAATTAGCAATGATCGTAACCTGTGTCCTTTGTAAATCCTGTCTTTCCATTTGTTTATAATTGTGTTGACCTGGGTCCCAGGTCTCGGGTCGGATCAATAAAAACTTATTTTGGGAGCGGGAGAGAGTGTGGGTTTTGTAATTGTTTACCAGGTCATGGCTGGAAAAAACAAAGCTAAAAGGCACTCCAATAACTGGAATTTACCACAACATTACAATTTTAATTATTATTTAAATTCATTATTATAAATTCATTTTAATTCATTATTATTAATTACACGATAAGGCATTATATCAAATGCAAGATGATTATTATTATTTGTCAAGATCGTGAGCAATCATCTGAAAAAGAAACTGGTGGGAAAAACCTGGACAGGGTCTTGGTTATTACCATTTATGGTAAGTGAGTATGGTACAGTCCTGGCACACACTCCTGTATATTTGGAATGTATTTGGCATTTTTTTTATGCAGTGCAGACAAGACTGAGGGTAGTTCCTGAACTGGAATGGTTTGAGGATGGGATGAAGAGGAGTTGATGGCCAATAGACACAGACAAAAATAAACAGTGCACTTGCTATTTGACTCAAACTGAAGTGACACAGAGCTTTAACCTGAATTTGTTAAGAGGAGATTTAATACTTTGAAAGAAATTCTGAGTGACGGGTTTGCAGTGAAGAGGATATCGAGTTTCCTTATAGCTGTTTGCAACCTTCTTGGGAAGCAGCCAATGCTTGCAGTGTAATAATCGAGAGACTGAATTAAAAACAAATGAAACAAAATCTGGACTCTTTATAAGCTCAGACCATCTCAGTTGTTCATGTCAGATTGTTGTTTAATGCCTCCACCCCTCTCCCCAGAAAATGCTAATCCAATGGTGGATTCTAAAGGGATGAAAAATGCAATGTTTTAAAACAGATTGAAAATCTATTGAATGTGTTATTGAATGTGTTATGAAACATCGCTTTTTTCAATATATTTCTAAAGACTGGCACTGGGTCTAAACACCTATTCACCCCCAATCTGACTATGACACAGTGGTTGAGCATCAAGATCTCACCTTAAAACTTAAAACATTTCACCTATAATAAATCCAGTGAAACTATAAGGCACTTTATCAAATGCAAGAATTACTTTTTATTTTATTTATTATTTTCTTCAGCTATTTTGAATCACTGATGGTGATTTTCCAGTGCAGCTTCATGGGATACTGGCTTAACTTGATCTGCATCCAGTGAGAAGTGGACACTAAAAGGTTGGCTCGGGGGTCAGGTAGAAGAGTCCAGTCTACACACGAGTATCCAAAAAGATGATGATAATATTTTGGAATGGACTTCAGAGCCAACCATTGTGTTAAATTTATGGATTCACACTCAAAGCCAGTATTTAGGAATCGATTGAAAAACGTTGTGTTTCACGATCAATTCCATAAAGCATTTGGTAATTATCAAATCTGTTATGAAACATTGCATTTTTCATCTCACAGTGGTGTTCTGTAGGAGCTGGTCTTTTGAATAGGACACAAGAATGACAGTGCAGAATGAAAACATTTCAGAATATGACTATAGTAGTTAGATCAGCATTTTGATTCATACGTAGGCTGGCTGGGACATTTGCTAGAGGCAAGAAACATCAATGACACTCGAAGAGCGAACACACTCCTCCCTGTCAACGATCAGAGCACAGACTTATAGATTAATGAAGAAGTTTGTTTGACATCAGGTGACCCCATGGACAAACTGTTGAAACTGATGAAAGGCACGAAAGGCTGCCCTGTTAAATCTTTTAAAGGCTGACACTGCTAGATACTGCACAGAGCTTTTGCCAGTCACGACAGGGGGTAAAGCCGGGTGGGGGGCATTTGATTATGGCACTAAAACAATTGTTAATTTGCAGGGATTCTCAGTGAAGTGCACCGGTGTGAAGAAATGATGGCACTGGTGAAGTTTCTAACAGAACACACTGGAATCTAGAGTTTCTTAATGGCATTCTCAATTGCAAAATTGGGGATTCCTTCCAATAGCTGGAAATATATCACGGCAGCCCAAAGGAATTCCACACTTGATGCAATCTACTTCTGCAGGTTGTCGATCACACGTGGACTTGCCTGGACTAGTGTGGGTATTCATTGGGACACTTCTGTCCCACCCAACACCCACACCAGTGGAGCCACGTCCACGCAAAGTCAATACCTTGTTCCCAGTAGCTACCCAGCTGCGATATCCATAAATTAATAAAAATTCAATAAAGAAAAAATGCATTTGGTGGCCGACCAAAAAAGGTTGGTCACTACTGTCCTAGGGCCTGTGAAAAGATAAAAGTAAATAATAAACAGTTGTTATTTTTAAGGTTTCGACTTGAGAATTTGAGCTTTTTAAATTGAACCAAGGATATCCTGAACAAAGCTACAAACTTAAACCAGAGACTGTGTTCAGAAGCGTGCTTTAGGCTTTTCAGGAGTTTGGAATGTTAGAGACCAATAGTTGGGAATCAGAGGATCTTAACATTCCCACAGAATTGCTGATCTACACATAAGCCGTTCTACCATTTTGAAAGAACATTCTTTCAGTCACAAGAAGTGGATTTATAAAGAGGCACAACATGAAGATTATAAGATTATGCAAAGATACAGAACGTAACTAGATTAGCATTAAGACATCCTGCGCTTTTAGTTTTAAGAAACATGCAGAATGCTTCTGGCAGCATTTCCGAAGCATTAGGAATCTTTCACAATCCAAACCATTTTTAAACATAAAAGAAACATCATTCCATGATGGATTTCCAAAGTGAAACCTTACTATTTTTACACATAGAGGCAGATACAATTAGATTTATCATTCTAAAGGTTCCATTATATTCTACCTCACCTAGTTTGTTTCTTCTCCCCCTCCACCTCCTCTCCTGAATTTCCCGATTCAATGCTGGAATTCAAAAGCATCAGTTGCTCTCTGGCAACTCACCAAATTAGTTAAATTTAACTGTGACCCTAGACTTTGAGTGTGAAAGAGTATTCACAGTCCATTTGACAGTAGGAGGCGGGAGATATAGGAAGGCGGGGGACCTGGGACAGGGGAAAACTGGGGTGAGGGGTCTTCTCACCTGATGTCCACACATTTTCCAGCTGGGGTCGCTGGTTAGAAATGAGGAGTGGAAACTTTCATAAGATTTGTCCCCTTTCCAGCTCAGGAGTGCTGACGTCAACTGTAGGACTTGTGCTGCTAACCCGGAAGAGATCAACTAACTGATTAGTTAGGCTTTCTTTCTTGGAATGATATGGATGAATTACACATAGCTGTGATTAACCTCTAGTTTGTGTTGAATAGATGAAAGTTCAAAGCAAAATATCACTGGTTATAATATCACACTAATATTTTTCACCCTATAGAAAGATAAAATCCAGTTCCAATCCTAGAACAAATAGAAATATAAGCCAACGATCCTAACAATCCCTGCATTTGGTATTGCTTTATCACAAGGTTGAAATGTATCATAGGATTTAGTGTGGTGTGGTGACTGAGTATTATGTAGGTGAAGGCGGCAACCAATTTGCATACAGCAATGTTCCACAAACAGCCATGACGTGAGTGGCCAAATTTATATGGGGGGTTGTTTTTCCCTTCTATTTTCGATAGAAAGTGGGATCTTTAACGTTCACCTGAACAGGCAGTCGTTTAACACTCATCCAAGGGATGGCACCACTGACAATGCAGCACACCCGCAGCATGCATTGACTATGAGCTCAAAGTCTCATAGTTTCAAAGAGGGTGGAGTTTCAAGCCAGAACCTTCTGTTTCAAATTTAAGAGAGAGAAAGAGAGTGCTACAGCTGAACCAGGCAGACACCTAGATCAGAGATCACAGTTTTCCATTGTTAATCATGAGCCTCATACCTGATCTCATCCATTCAAAAAAATAATAATTTAGTCACTCAATCCACGACTGTTTATGGGACACTGCTGTGCGCGATTGGCTGTGAGCAGTTTCGCCCACAAAATATACAGTCAATTCACTTTGCAGTATGTTCTGTGAAGCGCTTTGAGATGTCTGAATGACATGACAAGGCGCTATATCAAATGTAAGGATTATTATTATTATTATTACCTGATCGAATTAGCAGCCGCATCAGGGTCCTTTGCTGAGACGGTTTGGATAGGTGTGCCGATCGTCACATCTTCGTACACCTCCACGAAATAGAAAGCAGCGTCAAACACCGGCGGCTCATCCACATCCTCGATGGTCAGCCGCACCCTGGCTGTGTCTCGGAACGGGCCGAAATTCAAGAAGCGCAGGTCCAGGTGCGAGTTCGTACCCTCCACCATCAGCATGTAGCTGTCCTTTGTTTCAAAATCTAATGTCTGGGGTAAGGGGTGGAATGAAATCGAGAAAGAAATAATAATGTGTATTAGAATGAATCGGGTCTCATTTATTTTCAATCCGCTGTAAAAAAGTTTTACAACTGTAAGATAAGATGCTCGTATCGCACAACATCACTCATGCGTTTAGGATGACTGGCTCCAGAGTGCCGCTGTCACTGCCAATCAGCTTCCTTCTATTAATGCTCCATGTGTGTATTGATGGAGCTTACTCATTAAAAGGAGTATCGGTAGGAAATGTCAAAATGGAAAATGGTTGCATTTCAGTCTGATACACACGACTGACAATCTCAACTCATGGGGGCTCATAATTTGCCTACAAATACCCAGTCACTACACTTTATGAAAAAATCTCGTGAAGCACTCTGTTACATCTCGATATGATAAGGAACTATGTCAAATGATAAGACTATTATAATTATTATTTATTAGTTTCAGGCCGGTGCAGACTAGCTTCTTTGTAGATTAACTTCTGAAAGGTAAAGATATGTCTTGGTACAGAGTGTACCAATAACTCTGCTCATTTCCAGCAATTAGAAGCTTTGCACAGTCACTGGAATTGAAATATTTTATACCCACTGTACCTGACAGGGTAAAATATTGGAGCTGACTGTTCAGGCAGTTTCCAATGGCCTCATTGTCTATAAAGTGAATGCTTGCTTTAAATTATATTCTGGTAGTTGAAAGGGAATTTATTTGCTGCTGACAAATATTAGCTGTAGTTTGCAGTCAGGGCTTTACATATAAAAATAATAATCTTTGCTTTAGCACGTTGTTGAGATGTCTGAAAGTGCTTCACAGAATATATTGTAACTGTTTGTTGACTGTTTATTTTGTGGGTGAAATGCAGCAGCCAATTGCACACAGCAGTGTCCAAAAAACAGTCGTGGATTGAGTGACCAAATTATTTTTGTGTGGAGGGATTATTACCCCCTGAAAAGCGGTCTGTCAATCGACTAACAACCGAGTTCCTACTTATGCTAGGTGAACAGAGGTGCGTGGAGCAAGGAAATTTGCCTAAGGTTCATTTACGATACCCTATAAATTGGCCATTAAATTCACTAAAATGCAAATGGTTCACAAACAGATGGGCTGAATCGCAACTTAATTTCTGTAATTTTTACAACGGTGATCTCTCAAACCCATCAAAGTGATAAAATCTGAATGGATGGTCTGTGTTCCTCTCTGGCCAATCCCCTCCACCCACTTTTTTTAGGTTCGGAAATTGCAATCATCCATTTAATGTAAATCGAAAATTAAATTGCGAAACAAAAATCACCATTAAAACATGCCATCTGGTTTGCTAACATTTTGACAAAAGTATATCTCAGTGAACAATGCCACTTTGCATGGCTCGCAAATTTGGGTTCTCAGTATCGTGCTTTTGATCACCGTGCTTCCCCCATTGTCCTCCACCCTCCTCCATCCCAAATCCCAGCTCGGGTCCGAAACTGACTTTCCAGCGCCTTGGGACGTCCTCCCAACGTGAAAGGTGCTATACAATGTAATTTTGTTGTTGTTGTTGTTGTTGGGAAGTACATCAGGAGAAACTCCTTTCTCTTTTTAAATAATGTCACAAGAACTTTAACATCAACCTGAACAAACAGACAGATCCTTGGTTAGTGTTTTATCCAATGGATGTCACCAACAGAGTATGACTAGAGAATGAGCTCAGGTTCTGATGTGGGGCTCGAACCCACAATCCTGTGATTCTGAGGTGAGATGCTAACAACTGAGCCAGGCTAACAGACCAAGCTCTCTTTTGGAAACCCTTTACCTTGCTTAAGATGATAATCCCAACTTGGTTGCTTTGATCTGTGGTGATGTCGAACACATTCATCCCGTCCCCTTCGATGAAGCTGTAGCTCATTTCTGCATTCACCCCCTCGTCCGCATCCTCAGCGAAAAGTCTTCCCACCTCTGAGCCGACCAGGGCAGACTCCAGCACGCTCATCTGATACAGCTCTGCAGGGAGAAAAAATCCATAAATAAAACAATTACTGCAAAAGGTTTCCTATTTAAATAAGCAACTATTAAACTTTACAGATGGTACTCTGCTTCACTTTAGTGTTTGAGGAGGATGCTTGATACAAACGCTTGAAATTGTAAGAGGCAGTAATTTAGATTTCCTGCTGCAGGAGAAATAATGGCCTCTCTAATTATAGATATTTAAAATGTTGTGGTGTAATCATGTTTTATTTATTGTGGAGTTTATTGCGCCTGTCCTGCTTGGTCATCAGAAAGCAGATCATCATCAATGTAAATTTCCATTGACTCCCTCTGTGGTATGATTTCATGAGCACAGGTTGCCCTCTGGTTCTCACCCAAGGGGCCACTATTCAGCAAATGTGAGCAAGCCTGTGATGGGCAAAGTCTTTACCCATGAAACCATTGGATGGTCTGCCAGCTTTTCTGTTTATATTTCTATAAAATTGTGATAAACTCCGATCCCAAACGATTCAAACAGGTATCACAGCCCATGTAACATCCTGATATATTCTTGCAAGTGCTTGTTTTGTAGTAATGTAAAGGACAGGCAGCTAAGTTTCGGTCTTTACTTTCTGCACAACTACTGTTGAACTGGAGCACGATACGTATTTGAGGTATAAGAGCAGAAGCAGATTTGGGGAGAAATTTCACCCGTGGCTAGACTTAATCTATTTAAGTAGCATTTGAGAATGTCTAAAAGGTGGCAAATTCTTAAACACAGCCCTAACTTTGAAGTTTTTTTTGTAACATCTTTCTACAGAAAAGTGGTTTTAAAATTAAAGTTATATATAAGAATTTTGCCAAGATTACCTCTTTGTAATGGCACTCCCCCTCTCCCATGATCGGTGGCAACCCCACTACTGTACAGCACTCTGAGACACTATCCTGCTTGAAGGGCATGATACAAATGCAAGTTGTTGTTATGTACTACACAAATAGAATACATCTAGACCCAGCTGGATTTTCTCTCTAGATGTCTGTCTGCTCCTGAACACTCATGTAATTGAAAAGGCTGACACAACACATATTAGTGTCAGATGAGCCTTTACATGTTTCAGATAATTAGGAATGAAGGTATGGTACATGGGAGGATCCTCAATGTACAAACATGAAAAGCTGTTTTTATCCCTGTAAATTATATATACAGCTAGACTTTCTTACATTTGAACATAGCAGTCACATCCAATTGATGCAAAAGTAATATTAAACTTTTTTTAAAAAAAAGTTACTATTCCCCATCAATGTGACACTCCAATGCATTGTCGGAGATGTCGTCCTTTGGATGAAATGTTAAACTGAGGCTGTCTTTGCCTGTTCAGATGGACTTTAAAACTCCCGTGGCATTATTTGAAAAGAAAACTTGGTCATTCACTTCATGGCTATTTGTGGAACATTGCTGTGTGCAAATTGACTGCCACGTTTGGTCAAAAAGCACCCAGTCACTGTACTTTACAATATATCCTGTGAAGCGCTTTGGGATGTCTTCCTGACATGAAAGGCGCAGTACTAAATGCAAGGATTATTATTTATGATAATGTTATCCAATTTTCTCCCTCATATTGTGAATGTGCCAAGGTTCATTCCCGTGGATACATGTCAGCAATAACACTTATATAGCACCCTTCATGTAGGATAATATCTCAGAGTGAAGAGTAAGTGACAGGTGAATGACTGTCACTCTTCAACACCTGACTCAAATGGAATCTTGTTGTTGTTGTTGTTGTTGTCATTTTTCATGAGTGAGCTTGGATGATAAACATGGATGGTCTAGGTGGCCGTGAGAAACATTACAGTTAACCAGTTGCCCACATCGACATATATGTACTGATGGTTAGTTACTATCCTCCTTGGGGGGAGATACGTGGGGGCTTCTTGGAGCTGAGGTTCCAACGTGACCTGCCTGGCAACGGAATGTCGGAATTGAGCGAGCCCTTAGTGGCAGTCTCAGTAGTCCGGTTCCTGAGCCAGGCGGATCCGTAGTATTCTAGGGCACTGCTGATGACAGCACAACAGCCTGGCTCATTAATAGGACCTGGAAGGGCAGACCAGTCACTGGGAGCAGGCAGTTATCCTACTCAGCTCCTTGGGACGTCGTCCCGACGTGAAAGGCGCTCTATAATTGGAATCTTGTTGTTGTTGTTGTTGTTAACCCTACAAGCCAAAGCCCTGATGGGTTGGTTGGTCCTAGTTGGACAAACAGTGGGAAAGCTTGCTGGATAGCAATATCAAAGGCAAGCGGTTTCAGCTGGTTAGACTCCAGCAGTTTCCCAATGCATACTCTGGGGTCTTCAAACCTTGGCTCTTGCCAACCTGCACCTAATATATTCAGGAATTAGGTCAGCAGGATGTGTCCCTCCAGTGAGAGAGTGCGCATTCCATTCCAACAATATATCTCTGGGACTTCCATGTGAAGGTGGGATGCATAGAAATCTCTGCTTGGTTTGGGTCCTCTGAAGCTTGGTGATGGGTTTCTGCATGACTGACCCCCAAAAATACTGATGGTCGTTGCGAGCCAAGACAAGCCCAGTGAAGCCGAGATACATCACAGTGCTCCTAAATAACAACCCCGCTGAGAACAAATAACTCATCGCACACCAGGGATCAAACCCGTGGCTCTTCATTATAAAATTGTGCTTTGACAAGATTTTTAAACCCTACAGATCTCCCTGTCAGTATGCGGAAAGCCCTACGATGCATCGGTCATATTAACAGTGACTGTGGAGCCCAGCATGTAATCAATGCAAGAGTTAGGCCCATTACATTAGGTAATTATGAGCACCAGTCCCAATGCCTTTGACATTCCTCCTGCTTTAAGAATGATTGGAAGGCGTCAGAAGAAAGGCACTATTCAAAATTGATGGGCTCCCTTTCAGAAAGTGCAAGCTTTGTGACCAATAAAACACCCTCAATTATTTGTTTCTCCATGTAAGTCAATAAAGGAGAAGTGATTCAGATCACAAATCATGGTTTGCTGCCACCTCAGAGTCACTTAGGAAATCATAGCAAAGCTGCGTAGGAATTCTAGCCATCTACCCTTCCTACAAGCATACTTGCACCAGAATTTTTAACAAGGAAGCACCAAACACTAGGCCCTCCTAGCAATTCACCATTGAGTAGCATATATAATAATAGAATTATTACTATAAAAACTATCCTGTAGCATTTATAATAATGCTCTCCAGCTAGTGTCCTCTCCCCCACTGAGCTCCGTGAGCTCCCATCCTTGCCCGGCTTCATTGGCTACCCATCCCCCAGAGGATCGAATTTAAGATTGTGGAGTTCTGTAGCTCAGTGGTTAGAGCACTCGCCTTGCAAGCGAGAAACCTGGGTTTGATTCCTGGCAGGGCGAAATGTTTGGCAAATTTCCTTACTTGACACGCCTCTGTTTACCTAGCAGTAAGTAGGAATGTGGTTGTTAGTTGATTGCCTGATCGCTTTTCCAGGAGTTAATAATTCTTTTTAAAAAAATTAAATAAAAAATCAACTGTTCCCTTCGATCCACGACTGTTTGTGGGACACTGCTGTGCGCAAAAGGCTGCCGTGTTTCGCCCACAAAATACAGTCATTTCACTTTACAGTATATTCTGTGAAGTACTTTAAGAAGTCTTGAAGATGTGATAAGGTGCTGTATCAAATGTAATGATTATTATTATTGTTCTCACTTTCAAAGCCCCTCATGGTCTTGCTCTTCTCTACCTCTGCGACCAACTAAAACATTACCAACCTGTCTGTTCCCTCCATTCGGTGGGCAGTGGCTTGCTCCACGTCCCCATCCTGCTTGCTCTACTGTTGGTGGTTGGGCCTTCAGCCTTTCTGCACCCACCCTCTGGAACTCCATCCTGGAGCAGCTCCACCTTGCCCCCTCTCTTGCCTCCTTCAAGGCCCGTCTCCAGACCTTCTTCTTTGACCGTACCTTCGTTCATCTTTCCCACCTCCACCCCCCCTTGCTCTCCACCTCTCCTGATTCCAACTTGCAGCTTGAGTGCAAACTCTTCACTGTCTGGGCGCCTTAGGATGTCTTTTTGATGTGAAGGTGCTATATAAATGCAACTTGTTGTTATAGTTGTAATAACCTTTGCATTTGATATAGCATCTTGGGCATCGAAACTCCTGAAAGCACTTCACAGGATTTACTGTAAAGTGTAAAGTGACTGAGTATTTTGTAAGTGAACATTTCCTTTTGTTTTAAGGGGAGAAAGGCATTGTTTTAAGGGGAGAAAGGCAAAACAACAAGTTTCACCCAAATAGCACCTTTCATGTAGGCTGATATCTCAAAGGTGCTTCACAAAGATGGAGTGGAAATCTGAGCAAGATAGGAAATGGGAGGGGACGGGGAATGATTGAAGGCACAGATGAAGAGGCAGGCTTTTTGTTGCAAGGGTTTTGAAAGTAGTGAGGGAGGATATGAGATGGAGATGGTTTGGGAGAGAATTACTCAGAGGGTCTGAAAGCTAGGCCACCATTGATGGGATGGAGAACCTGCAGTAGGCCTGAGTTTGCAGGGCGGAGGGGGAATGGGCAAGGGAGTGGGTCTGGCAGAGATTGCTGAGGGACAAAGGAGTGAGGATATGGAGGTATTTGAAAGTTAGAATGAGGATGTTGAATTCTTAAAAGTTTCCTCACATTGCTTATCCTAGCATTTGTGAATGCACAGTCACTACACTTTGCAGTAAATCCTGTGAAGCAGTTTGAGACGTTTCGAAGGCAGTTTATCAAATGCAAGGATCACTATACATATTCTTTCTATATCAAAATGGTAAGAAATGCTCACTTTCCTAACCCTTTCTCTTGCCCAATACTGGGTGGTAAGTTTCCTGGACACTCTTCAACAGGAAACACATTGTTGGTGGTTATTGGTGCACTGCTAATCCAGCGTCGGAGGTACTCACTCTGAGAGAAGTGGGGAGGATTGTCATTGACATCTGAGAGGGTGATATTTACAGTCGTGCTCCCTGATAAGCCTCCCATCTGTCCGCCCATGTCCTTGGCCTGGACAATCACTTGATACCTCGCATTGATCTCTCTATCCATGTTAGCTAAAGCTGTCCTGATGATGCCTGCAAAACAAATCAGAACAACTGAAGCAAAACGAAAGTGTCATTTTGATAACTGATCAGCAGAGGGCACCAATGTTACTGTTAGAAACAAGAGATTAAATTTAAAAAAACACTACCGAAATGCACAGAGCAAGGATTAACGCTGCAATTATATTGCAAGTTTGCCAATGAATGTGGGGTAATTTCGGGAGGGAATTCAATTCATATGCATGTTATACGTACACATTCAGATTTTGCAAATCGCCATAATCAGGCATAAGCACATTGGGGTGAAACGTGGGATTCTTGATTCCCCTCATGCTCTGTTTAAAGAATTTTGAGCAGATTAGTTTCAAAGGTTATAGAGACAATCTCAGGTCTGTCACTTTAATCACAGAGTCATGGAGTTGCTGTTTTGCTCTTATGTAGAACAACAACGTCGAGTGTTTGTTGTTTGTGGCCCCAGTGCAATAGGATGTAGAGCGGGAAGTATTAGAAGAGGATTTACCTGCTCCACATCATTCCACTGCAGAGAGTAAAGAACTTAAACCCAGCAATAGTTAACCATTCAATTTTACCTCAGTGTGAACCTCCTGTGGCTCGAAACTACTTGCAAAGGAATTATTATCAGTGAGATTGTGTTTTAATGTTGAACACTGTGGCAATTTATATTTATTGATCTGTACATGCATATATACTGTTGTACTCAACAATTAAATTGCAGAGAACATAATCAGGTTCTGGTCACAGAATACCAAATTGCTGACCAAGTGACTTGCTGGTTGGGCTGTGATTACTGAGCTGTGAGCTGAAAGTAGTCCATTGGCCATTATACAGCTGCCTGATGCTGTATATTGAAATAGTTCCAGGACGATCTTGTCATACTTAATCGACCCTGGAGCAAGTCTTTTTAATCTATATCCTCTCCTCACTAAAAGTTTAAAGATGGAAGATCACTTGATGTCAAGAGCTGTAGATTTGCTTTTCAATTTGGTTGAATCGGTTTGAAGGAAGTTTCGCATCTCCATCAGGTTTCCTCTAGACTCCAAATATCCACACAGCAACAATGTGAATTTATATAACGTCTTTCACACAGCGAGTACGTATCGCGCTTTCAGACACTACACCCTGAAACTCTGGACACTCTTCCTCTATCTCTCCGCCACCCTCTCCTTCCCCATCTTCAGGTCGAACCTGAAGACCCTTCTCTTCGACCTACGGTCAGCCCCTCCCCCCAGCTCGGCATCGTGCTCAGCCACTGTCAAGTGCTCTGGGACCCTACCCTGTGTGAGGGGTGCTCTATAAATTCAAGTTGTTGTTGTATCAAAGTGCTTTACAAAGACTGAACTTTACCCCCGAGGTGGGAGGGAAATCGAAGCGGTAGGGGTAGGGGCCGAAGGTGCAGTCAAAGAGATGAATGGGTTTTGAAAGCACTGATGGAGAGAGCGAGGTAGAGAAATTTGGGAACAGAGTTCTAGTTGATAGTGAACAGTGTGGGGGTGGGCATGAAGCAGGTTGGAGTGGGCAGATGGGAGGGAGTCGACAGAGCAAAGGGAACGGCTGTGGTTATAATACAATACTGCACCTCCTTTCTTCAGTTAATTATTTAATCTAAGAGCAAACAGAAACTGAACCTGCAAAAATAATACGCAATTGAAAACATTCTTTTGTCCACAAATAATAAGCAAAAAGGCATTGATTTACAAGGAAGAATAGATTCTAAAATTATAAATGAGTCAAATTTGTGGCAATTCAATATTGAGCTTCTTTGGGTTAATTAACGGAAGGACCGCATTATGAATTACCTCAATTATTCCAGTGCAATTTGATTAAGTGAAACCAGGTACTGAAGTGATTATATTTAGTGTCAAATTTAAATAACTGGGAAAGCATCATTGGATTAAGATTATGAATATACGTAGAATGAACTCTCTCTTCATAACACTATCTCTTAGAGCCACACACGACACCTATCTTATAAAGTGCTACCTTATACAACAGCTTTCCATATGATTTCTCGATAGGTGAGTGAACCATTTTTAACATATGTTACATCAAGATTTGTGCGATTCGTGCACATTCATTTTTTTTTAAAGAGAATTATATAGCGAAAGAATTTTACTCTTGTTCTTCCCCAAGTTTCTCCCTTGTTCACTTTTCCTCCCACTAGGGCAAAGTTCTACTGGCACTTCAGGTTTTTCCCTTGTACTTCATTAAGTGACTATAATGCCTACATGGCAGGGGGTGTGGGCGGGGGACAGGCTGTTAACACAGATCAGAAATTCTATGCAAAGTGTGTAAAACAGGTGGTCAGATACACCCTCAATATTGTAATGCAGCCTTTATTTCAACAGGAAAAATGAAAGTGGCTCCTGACTCATTCTTATTTTCCTTTTGTTGAAAGCTGAAATATTTATTATGCTTTGAGTTTTTTTTCAGTTCATATTTTTAAATGTCTTTCTGCAAACCTCGCGCGATTTGAGATAAAAATAGTTTTTTAATTTTGTACTTTTCTGAGATTCCATTTTGTAAACTCCTAATGTTCGGAAATTGTCAGATCATTTGTCTAGTTGATTTTAACCTGAAATGGGACGGTTCATTTTGTGGTATTTCTTCATTAAGAAATCCACACATTCACGGTGCTACCTGCCGGGAAACTGCTCCAGTTCAACTGGAGTGGGATTCCCTCCAGTCAGAATGATACCTGTCATGTAATTGGAAGTACATCAAGCAGTTCCCATTTAGATTCTTTAAGGTCCTAAAATATCCATTTCTTAATTACAAAATCCTTTAAGAAATCCCACAATATTGACTCCAACATCCCCTGTGCCTTTCAAAAGCTGAGCAGGCTTTTCGGTGCTGATGAGATAATGAACACAGCAGTACAAACAAACGTCCGATCTCTTGGGCACCAGAGGATACGATAACAAGGATTTGATGAAGTGATTGTTTACCTGTCCTTGGTTCCACAGAGAAGTAAGGCTGTCCCTTCAGGATGCTGTACACCACTCGGGCGCTGTTCCCATACGTGGGATCATCAGCATCACTTGCTGTGATCTGTATCACTGAGGTACCTGCACAGGTAAAATATATAGTTACCAGGTGTTAGCATTTTGGGGAAGCTTATATGTGTCTATCACTTTACTGCCAAGTTTAAACATCACTTGTTTGCTCAGCTTAATGTATCAGTTACTTTTTATTTGATGTGTTTGCATAACATTGTGTCAGAATTTCTTGTATATTGTCGTTGGTGTTGGCATCCAGCTCACAGATGACTGCCGGTTAGTGGGACACATCCTTTTATTGAATAAAAGCCTCAGAGTTACCTGTATCCAAACTAACTGGATGTCAAAAGATAACATCTGTGCAATACTGTGCAATGTCACCATAGAAAACAGTATGGGGAGAGGAATGGTGGGTGGGGGGGAGGTGGGGAAGGAAAGGGTCTTGGTATCTCGCCCACACATTCAGAGAACATTGATGTGATAATATTAAATGCATCACTCATTTGACCCCCTAAACGCTGACTTTATTCAGTTCTGGAAATGTAGAGGAACTTGCTTTGCATAGACTTTGTGTATGTAATGTCACAGAGTTAATTATATTAACATGAAGCTATGGTAAACGTGATTGTAGAGGGAATGACAATTGCACTGAATATACAGACTGATGGTCAGTGGAGATGAACAGAACTGTTTATAATTAAAGTGGTTGGAATAGCTACACATTTACATCTGTCAAATTTCTTTATGGTACATTTACTCCTGACTTTCATTTAATGTGCTTCCTCATCGTTCGGAGTTAATGAAGTTCATTTCAGGCATGTTTATTTTTTCTGTACTGTACAAAGCGAGGTGAGTTATATCACATTTGTTTTGTGGGGCTCAAAGGGCGTTTTGTATTTCACTACGGAACACCATCAGTGAAGGGAGTTTCTCTCTCCGAGTGTCCTGGCCAACAATTCCCAAATAAAATTGGTCATTCACTTCATGATTGTTTTGCAGGTGTTGCTGTGCTCAAATTGTCAGCTTTGTTTTGCCTACAAAATAATCAAACACTTTGTAGTAAATCCTGTGAAGTGCTTTGAGACATCCTCCCGACATGAAAACCATTATATCAGATGTAAGGATTATTTTATCACCTGTAACTAGTGGTGAGTGCTGCAGTCACAACTGAGGTGTTTAGGCCATAGGTAACACATAGATTGGAGTGTTTTACAAGACTGTAAAACATTCCGATGTCAGCTACAACAACAACAACAACAAGATTGCATTTATAGAGCGCCTTTCACGTCGGGAGGACGTCCCAAGGCGCTGAAATGTACAATGTCACAAAGCATAAGAGCAAAGCTCAAGTGGACAGCATTACTTATTTTAACAATTGTTGGAAACCTTCTATTAATTTATTAATTTTTCCCCAGTGTGATCAATAAGCTCACTTTGTTTAGTGGATGGTGGAATGAGCTTTGTTCATATCTTCTGACCTGTCTGTTGTACGATCGGTGAGTGAGCATTCAGCTTCTTTGCCCCCACGTTCTGCAGCCTTCCACTTCTCACCTTCCCTCTCTGCTTTCAAAATCCATCTAAAAACTTCTCTCTTTGACTGGACCTTTGGCTACCTCCCTCTCACCACTCTGTTGTCTCCTACCTCAAATCCCACCCTGCTCAAGCTCCCAAACCACCTATTCAAAGCACTTTGAGACGTTTTCCTACTTTAAAAGGTGTAATTTGTTATATGACTTCCCAGAGACTGTGAGGATTTTTTTTAGAAGGATGAAGGCATTGACTGAATTTGTGCTGCAGATAAGCAGTTCAATGTAGTGGGGAGTTTAAACAGATATCAAGATAAATTGCAAACATATCCTTTGTACAAGTTACATTATCAGATCTATGGTATTACACTAGTAAGGTAAAATAATCCTGCTGCATCTGACTGGCAGTGCTAAAAACTGCTTGAATCGATTCATATTGCTTTTGACAGTCAGGTGGGTTTGTAAGAGGCAAACACAAGTAGCAACAGGAGCAAGGTGGGGCAAAATGAAATTCAGGATTTACAGGGGCTCAGTTTAAACTTGGCTCAGTCTGTAACTATTGTGAGAACATATCCTCTCGTGTCTGGAGGATAGAGAATTATACGAACACACACACACACTCGGACGCGTATGCAGGCACAAAAATCTGCTGGAGGCATAGTGCAACCTGCAACCATGCAACCTGCAGCCATGCGAACGTCAGCAGAATATCAAAGACGTTCCAAAGGGAATGTAATGTGAAGATTTAATCTTCAGATCATTTCTATAGATTATAGCCTTGTACATTTCCCTTGTACTTCCATCACTATATAAAAGATTCCATTTCATAAAATATAAAATCTTATCAGCCAACGGGGCAAAGTTGCTCAGTGTTACTACAGCGTGGTCAAAACACTCCCCTATACTTGCTACCATGCTAGATGTCAAAATTGGGGGAAGGATTGCAGTATTCCTTATGCATTCCATTCCTTGTTAAAAAGTCTTTAAAAAATACCACCCCCTTCCAAACTTTTCAATAGTGGTAGCATGCAATCTTGGCTGAAGAGTCCTGGGTGGCTCCAGTATGGAAATCATTTAACGGGGATCATTTTTGAGTGCCTAAGGTGGTCTGTTTGAGCTCTCTCAGGGGTTATAGACTTAAATCAATCTGCGCTTGAGCAAGGTCCCCCAAGCAAGCCCAGATAGACCATTTTCCGTGATCGCAATTGACAAAGATAGAAATCCTCATAGCTGAGGTCCTGCGAGTTGACATGATGTACTGGGATTTCCCTGAAGAAAATCTAGATTACATTGGAAAGTGCTTTGCTCAGGGGTTACACCTTTCTCAAACACCTTTCCAACCCCAGTGTTCTACATGTAACCTCACCAGTGATGTACACAAAGTTGGATCTTTTAGTTAACAGTTAAATGCTGTGAAAACTGAATCCGCTATTTGCTTATCTAGATGCCACAGCTCCATACAATCTGGGATACAAACCATTACCTAGGTTTTTTCAGTTGTTTAGTTTTTAAACGTCACCATTGTATATTTCTATTCATTGCACATTTCAAAGATATTCTGCAGTGTTTTGCTGCCATAAAACATCTGGCAAACAAGCTCATTTATTTTCTCATGTGAATCATTCAATGGCAGAAGGAAGTTAAAAAGAAGACTTTAAATCACACAAGTTCCTCCATATCAGATATCCTTTCCCGTGCTCTCAAGGCCTACAAATCTGATGGAATATAAGGTTGTGTTGCGCGTAGTAGGAGAAACATCGTGCATTGATGCATTTTCTTTGAAGAAATTACAGCTTTAGTGTCACAAGAACTTTCTTACCCATAGGGGACATTTCGGGAACAGTGGCAACATAAGGTCCATCTAGAAACTTTGGTTCATTGTCATTGATATCCTGAATTTTGATGATGAATTCAGACTCTGGTTCCAAGGGCCTGCCAGTCTTCCTGTTCAAGGCTTGAGCGTGCAGGGTGTAGTGAGTCTTCTGCTCCCGATCCAGCCGTTGTATAGCATGAATATCTCCAGTGGTGTCATCAATAGTGAAAACAGTGCCAGCTCCGTCCCCTGAGAGGATATACCTGACAGAACCTTCTCCTCTGTCCATGTCTGAGTGAAGCTGCAATTACACAACGAAGAGAAGATCTTATTATTTTCCACCTTCACATTATCCCCTTTTTCAAGAACTGTTTCCCGCTCTGGATTCCTCTCCTACTCATTTTGGCCTTCCTCATTCAATCTTCGCTTGATGCCTCCATGCTCTACTTGACACAAGTTGGGAACTGAATAGAGCTGAACTCAAACCTATGTTCATTCTCAAGCCTGGAATTTTACTACACTATCCAAACCATGTCAAGGAAAGTCTATTTGCTTGCAGCTGAACTACTTACTTTTAGGTACTCTGATTTTAACATGTCAAATTTTAATGTTAGAGGCTGGATAGATAGAAGTGAGATGAGAAAACATTTCTCATGGAGTCTGGAGTCTTGTAGCTCGGTGGTTGCAAGTGGGAGACTTGGGTTCTATTCCCGGTAGGGCGAAACATTGGCCAAGTTTCCTTACTCCACATGCCTCAGTTTACCTAGCAGTAAGTAGGAACCCGGTTGTTAGTCGATTGGAGCATCGCTTTCCGGGGATAATAATGCTTACAAAAAGCAATAACAATTTAGTCACTTAATCCATGACTGTTTGTGGGACACTGCTGTGCGCAATTGGCTGCCGCATTTCGCCCACAAATATTCAGTCAATTCACTTTACCAGTATATTCTGTGAAGCACTTTGAGACGTCTAGAAGATGTGAAAAGTGCTACATCAAATGCAAGGATTATTATTATTATCACATTACTATTATTATTATTACATTATTATTATTGTTTCTTTACACAGTTGAAAGATTGTGAAATTGTGGAAAGCACTACCCCTGAAGGCAGTGAAGGCAGAATCAAATGGGATGTTTCGAAAGGAAATAGATAGGTACTTGGGAAATGAAGGTAGTAAGGAGTGTGGGGAAAAAGAGATTTAAAAAATCTGCTGTGATGGAACAAACTGGCGGAATGGACTTGATGGACTGAATGATCCTCGGATTCTCTGTCCTAAATTCTGGATGAAATGTACAGACGTGCTGTGTTCTTCACAGTGTGACGTTCACATCATGCTGTTAACTTCAGTAGTTCAGTGAGATTTAAGAATATTAAACCTCGCTCTCCATTTGACATGCGGTTCCTGTTCCATTCTTACCTTGCCCACGTACAACGGTTCTGTTCCCGTGTATTCTTCCAGCACAAAAAACTGGTTCCAAACCCAGCCTCTTCTCACACGACGATGAGACATCTTGTTCTGTTGGCTGTAGTCCATTGCTGTTGTTGGCTGGACCTCGGATACCTGGGCCAGTTCAACTAAACACAGAAATAGGCATGTCCCCAATAAATACTTCTTACCCATTATGCTGTGATGGATAAGGCTTACAGGGCCTTTAGGTGAGTATCAGCAGTGAAAGGGGCAAACTCTTTGGAAACTCTTGGAAGTTTTGTCAGGTGGTCTTTGGTCAAAAATATCTTTATCAACCTCTAGCGCTTGATATTGCTTCCTCCAATCAGGGCTTTTAACTTTACCGTAAGTAAAGCTTAAATCCTACAGATCCTCATTGGGTGCATGACCTGCAAAGAAAATATAAGAGAGCATTTAACAAAGTGTTATGGTTAGAGAGAGAAAATTCTGGTTTATTTCAGGTTATTAGCACACAAGAGGGTGAAGGGATATTGATCATTTTCACATCAAATCTGTTGTGAAATCTCTTTTTTCTCCCCAAGAATCTATACCAAGTGTACTGAGGAAACTGTTGTTTGATGATAAAGCTGAGGTGGGGACAGAAAGCTTCTAATTTATTGATACCATGTATGGCTCAGGTGGGGGCAACTTAGAATTTGTGAAAAATGGTTATATGAGGAAATGCATTTATTGTATCCCTGTTTTATTTAGATATTACCATTTTTTATCATGACACCCTAGATTTTTTAAGACTGGATGTACTTTTCCATTCTATCTACTCTTAAACTTTAACCATTTGACTCTTACTGTGCCGGTGGAGCCGTCTGTGGGAACTTACCAAATATATACCTCTTTTTGTCATGGACTGTGATACTGGGATCCTAGTTTTGTTATAATAAAGCTTGTCAAACAACAAGGCAGTATTATTGTAGGATTAGCCCTAACCTACAATATACAATTTTAGGTTAATTTTTTAAATAAATGTGATTGTTTATTTTTCCTATGTTCTCTTCCCTGTTCTCTACTCTTTGTCCATCCTTTATCTTTAAGATTTTAACTCTTTTAAAACTATTTTACACCTATTCCAATTGTTTTCTCTGATTAATCTCTATTGCTAAACTTAGCAGTTCCTTAACTGTTTCTTTCTTCTGTCTTCCTGCTAGCATTATGTAAGGTGGGATCAACTTATGTTAAAGGAATTTTTGTAGTTGAAAATGTTAAGTCATATCATGGACATGTATCCATGTCAATCATAACCCCCTGCCCCTTTCCCAGAAATTCAAGCGTGAAAGAGCTTGAAAATACATGGTAAGAGAACCTATTGTAAATGTATGTCAGCGGTGCACAGATAGATAAATATACAGTGCATGCTGGTGATTCACACTCTGAGAACAAATGGCTGTGCGAGGTGAGCACGAAGTACATCAACCATAAGCCTGCACAGTGGCTGCTGTGACCAACTGACTGGAGCCAGAGCACCCCAGTGTTAGAAGACTTGTGCTTCCTGCATTGAATTCATCAGTCGGCAATAATTGCACCAGAGTGACTTCTGATGATGAATAAAAAGAACATTCGTGCCCTGTATAACCACTTTTTTTAGCGCCACAACCTTGACTTTTGGCTCGCAGCCCTGTGACATGATCAGGCGTTCTACCAAACGCAAGGATTCTTAGTAGATTTTCCAGCAAAACGATAAGGTTCTAGGCCTGGCTGTTCAATCATAATGAAGATAAGGTTTTAGTTATTGATGTTTCATAGCTCATTCAATTTTGAAGATTTCCAGGTCCAAAAATAGGGAAAATACTGGAGCAGCGAAAATATATATTCATGGCATGTCGACAGCAGTGCTTGGTACTTAGTCCAGGATTTCAGAATGCTGGTTGTTGCCGGTTGCTTTCCCTGTTTTTCCACCTTGTTGGAACACAGTAATGCTGATCTCCAGCAGAAACACTTTCTCAGCTCCTAAGGGGCTTTTGTTGCGTTAAATTCAAATTAGCCTGCAATCTCCATTACTTCTTGCCCAATTTTTCTCCCTCTATTTATATTGTGGTATTCAATGAACTCTATTATCCATTCATGTACACAAAACGTACTCTATCCATCCAGCAGTGAGGTTGCGTGGCTCCCCACACAAACGTTGCACAAGTCTAGTCAATGGGCATTTGCAGATTGTGAAAGAACAGAGACCTGCACGCTGTGTTGGAAGCAACAAATGAAACAAAACAATCCACTTTGACTCTTATGTAAATGATTCATTATCATTTCCAGCAGTCAGACTGATTTACAATTTCCTGTTCTCCATCTCATTGCAGTGGCGAGTCTGTGGAGTGCTTGCCACATGCAATGTGCTACTCTAACTCGTGCTGAATATCTGCTAGTTTTGAATGGCACTAACATTAAAATTGGTCCTGAAAAGATCATCCAATATATTTCAGATGAGATAATAATAATCCTTGCATTTGATATAGTGCCTTACCACATCGTTGAGACGTGTCAAACGTTTCACAGGATACAGTGTAAAGTTAATTGACTGTGTATTTTGTGGGTGAGTGGAGGTTCTGACTGCTATTTGAAAAGATCGATTCCACCAGTTGCACTTACAGGATGATCCCATTACAAGGTAGCAGTTCTAAGCGCTCAGGCACCACCCCACATGTTATATAAATGCAGGTTGTTGTTGGCTGAGGGTCCATCAAATATCTTTATAATGGGGTGTCAGTCAGTGTGACTGGGCATGAGGTCACATAATCAGTGATATCACTGTGCATGCATGCAAAAAGCGGTAGCTGGGAAAAGTTCATCATAAACTAGGCATAAACTAGCGCTATACATGTTACACTGCAGTTCACTTTATCAGTCAGCTGTTCAACCGGAACCAAAATAACAGAGAGCGCTTAGCAAAGATATACACTTCACACCGCAATGAATTGCCCTCTCAAATGTGCTTTTGTCTGCAAATGACACAAGGCAGTGCCACAACAGCATAGCACTCTATCTTTGGAGTGCTGGGCATTCACAATCAGTTAAATGGGGAAATGTAATGTGTTCCCAGGCCTGACATGTCTCCTAGTCTTAGTCTTAAAACCATTGTCTTAAAATCTTAAATTATCTTATAATCTTGTGAAGACTGTACATTATGCTACAGGTATTAATAATCAGAAACAAAGAGAAAATTATTCTTGCAGACCATTGTGTGAAAAGCAAATCTTGTGTATCGAAAGCTCAAAAGGTCTTCCAGCAGGTCTTCCAGCAGGGAAAGGGTTACAAATTGTTGCAGAGTCTTAGCATGGGAATTCCATGAATACTTTATGAATATTTAGTAAGAGCACAGAATAAAGAGATAAAACACTGACATTCAAAAATGGCAAACGCCCACATAAATTACATTTGATAGGAGAAACCCGTGAATTATTATAGCCCTTTGCACCGCTAAGCAATTCTTAACATTTCAGGACACCCAGTGAGAAAGTTTGCTATTTATATATGTGTGACACAATTTAAATAAAAAATTCGGGCAAATGCCCTTTATACAAAATCTTTAAATATAATGACTTTCCTTAAAATATGGCAGCAGCGCAATAAAAGTTCAAATCAACATGAAGTGACTATAACATATTTTTCATTAATTTTCAATTAATTTAACAGCATTTACTTTGTTAAGGGGACTTCAGGCTATCATATTTGAAGACTGTTTCTCGAAGACAAATAAAGCAGTGTTTTAAAATCTTTCTCTCTTTGTGCTAAACGCAATATATATCAGTGCCCCTGAGCAGACACCACTGAGTTCTTTCTCAGCAACGTTTTTATGACAATTGTCTTGTTAGCAATTCCATTACCTACACTGCTTACCGCCAAATTATTCTCAGCGCTCTCCCAATTGTTTCCAGTCAGTGACTACGAATGCAGTTTTTGGATGCCCCTGTGACCCACAAACCCAGCCCCCCTTCCCATCCAACAATGATCTCAGTGACCACCATGAAGACACAAAGCCACCCCTAATGCACTGCAATCGATTGCTTTACAGGTCAAACATTTAACCTCCATTCTCTTGTGAAAAGGTGCTGGTAATAGGGATATTACATTAGATTAAATTACATGAGCCGATAGAATGGTACATTCTTTGTGGTTAAGAGCATACACATTTCTTCACATATTTACACCTATTTTTCAAATGATATCTGCAAAATTCCATCTGTACAGTATTTTGTAAGCAGAAATAACAAATATGAAATGTTTGCATAAACAGTACTCACAAAACAGATGGATAAGCTCAAACAGGGCATATTTTCAATGAGGATAAAGTGTCTCTGTGGTCTGGCTACCTCAATGTTTTTATACCAGTTGATGGATCATAATTATTCCACTCGCTTTTCTTCACTTCTGTTTTTATTACATTCGCGTGTACAGTTTTCACTTGTGAAATCCGATCATCATTTTGCTACACTCCAATAAGGATTGATGAGACTACTGTACAGTGAAGGCATCTTACTGTCACACAGAGAAAACTACCAAAATAAACAATTTCACAACGTGTTTATATTTGTGTTTGCAAACATCACTCCTCTCTAGTAAAAATGGTGATTATGAAAGATCCTTTTATGTTTTCCTTTCCCCTGCCAACATTCTCACCTTGTTCCTGACTCATGCTGGAGTATATTTCCAATAGATGTTGGGCATTCTCTGCGTTCGCTCCAGAACAAGCAGAGACACTGGTATTGTTCATTTGCTCCCTATATATAATAATAATCCTTGCATGTGATGTAATGCTTTATCACGTCTTCGAGACGTCTCAAAGAGCTTCACAGAATTTACTATAAAGTGAATTAACTGCATATTTTGTCGGCGAAAATATGTGTGTTTTCCATTTGAAAATGTCTGCTTCAACTAACCCCAGTCATACTTCAGGGGGAGGTTACAATTCTTTTTGTTTTTTGTCTTTAGATATTGAGTGAAGAGAGCTCAACCTCTGCCACGATATCACCTGGAGGGCATGAGGCCTATTGATACTCATTGACTACATGCATGCATTATGAATGACCACTTGCGTAAAATACTTGAGGAACAGCCTTTGTCCTTGGAACTGAAACCAGGCATGAAATGCCGTCAGGAGAGAACTGGGAATAGTTTGGAATTTGCAATAAGTGATTCC